GGCTGGATGGGTAGGCGGGATGTTGCGAATGCAGAGCATAATATAATATGAGGGGGAAATGATATACGATAAAGATCAAACGATAAAGAGGGGAGCCTCAAGGTATTAAAAGAGTAATGTTTAAGAACCTTTGTGAAGGAGAAAAACGGCGCGGATGGGACCGTCGAAGAGTATATTATTTATTTATATTTTTAGTTTTTTTATTATTATTTTAATTCTCTATGTATTATTCTATATTATTTATTATTTTCTCTTCGCAGGTACCAGGTACAACATACATTGTACTGATATATTCCAGCCCTGGAGGGATCTATACTAACAGACCAATCAGAGGGCTCGCGAATGTCACTGCCTACATCTATTTCTTTCCCTTATTTCCCTCATTTCTTATTCCCAAAACTTGTTATAGGAATATTGTCTCAACTTTTCTTTCCCAGAAACAATGTACCACATCGGAAAACCGTCTAATACCTGTGGAGGTAATTTAATAAAACTTTCAACGGTGACTGTTCAAATGTTGTTAAAGAACTTGAAAGTGAAAATCAAGGTAAATTGCGATAGCCCATTGAAAAATAGAAACCCCCACATTACCAGCTTATTTACCAAATGCTCCACCTCCGAATGACAAGACATGCTAGACTGGACTGGGCATGGAATGGTACTGTAAAGAATACGTGACCGTATCTTGCAAAATAAACTTCCCAGTGTCTTGGCCCCCTTTAATATCATCCTCAACCCGTGGACTATAACTTCTTGGGTAATATCAACTCTATATCATGGGATGTATACTGTACACAGATTGAGTTTCAGGGTCTCTGAAGGGGCTGCCACGTCTTGCCAAGTAGTGGGCTTGTGTTAGAGATGATATCATACATACTACGGAGTACATAGTACCATTCTCGCAGGAAAAGCCATTCATGGGGGCCCTCGGGAATTCGTCCATTCAAAGACTGTGAAATAACAACCTACACAATTAAGCCAAGCTAAACTTTGCAAGGTTAGCCGCGGCCGAACTACTCCGGTCTACTTTCCAAATGAGAGGGTAAGATCATTAACGCTAAGAACGATCTTCTCCGGGAAGTAAACGGACTGAACTCGACTAATTTCCCCTCAGGGTCTAGAAGTTCTCCATTAATATCCGTGTCTCCATAAAACGAAAAGGGGAAATTAAAAACAAGGAAAGAAATATGGCATACATCGTAGACCTGGAGTCCAGAAGAAAAAAAACTTGGAAGCAAAAGAGTTAATAGGGGAAAGAAAACGACCACTGCAAGGGATGGCCTTTATGACGCGGCATCTGAACCCGGGGCTAACGGTGATAACTCGGATTGCTCTATCCCGAATCAGGTACCCCAGCTCACCCCGAACAGCCCCAAGTCCTCGGGTCCCATTTCCTTAAGGTTGGGGCTGTTCCCGTCTCTCCACTTCTTTTAAATTGTATACAAGTACGGAGTATGTTGCGCTTCATTGGGGGAATATCGCTCACATTCACGGTCTCAATCTCAAGGCTGACAGACTTTACGATGTAACACGCTATCCCTGATAAATAGAGTGCCACATCGCTGAGGGATTACTTACTTCTCTACACCGTACTCCCCGTATAGCGCACATCAACCATTTTAATTGCTTTTTATCAACGTAACTGGGTCGATCACTTGGCTTCCTTCAAAGTCTGTTGTAGGAAACAAATGGCCGAGAAGGGATCTTGGCTCTAATAAAATTCCGGCAAAAACCATGTCCCTTAGAGACCAAATAGAAGCCTGTTGCCTCATCAGGTGCCTCGGGTAGCCTCGGTTGGCCCGGGTCTCGATGGCCAGTAGGCTCAACGAAGGTGTCGCAAGAAGCTTCGATCTTTGCGCAAATTATGCGGTGAGGATCACAGGAATATACCAGAGCGGGTAAGGTCTCTGGAAAGTACAACATACAACATACATAAGCTGAAACGTAAATAGAAGCTGTGGCGTTTTGGTAACTGTTACTGAACGTGGCAACCCACTCGCGGTCATCTTAACTGCGGCGATCTTCTGATCACTACAACCTTATTATGCCGGAGGAATGAAGCCAGCCTATGGCTTCATTTTTTTTCATCCCCTTCTCTCTCTTTCTTTTTCTCTGATCGACAAGCTTCGTTTACATACCTGGTACGAGGTATGGCACGGAGTACTCCGTACGCTGTAGAGCTTTAGTCGTGTGCCGCAGATCTATCGTAGATTACCTGGTAGGAGGAAGGTAGATCTTATTCTGAGGACCAATAGTTCTGCGCTCATGATATATCCGGATGATGATGACCACAGTGTACGAGGCAAGAGCATGTGTTGGAGGACCCACACAATTTTCCTGTTAGTGGCTATGGATGCAGCCCGCCCCAGCCATTGAGGTAATCGAACATAATCTACGGAACAAAAAAAAATAATTATTGCTTGGAATAAAAACCGGTTGCAAGTCGAATGTACAATATAGATAAAATCCCAAGGCTACTGTATATTGTATAGTATACGGCTTGCACAGCCCATCATTTCCTCCTGGGTCCAGACTCGCAGACACATTCGTATCGACAAGGAACTTTGAAATGAAGGCTTGTCAACAGAAGAAAGCGTCAAAGTCTCCGCCGATCAGCTAAGATATAAACTGGGACTATCGTCGACCCCACTACTCCGTAGATGCACACTAGATTACCTAGGTAATCGGTAATCGCTCGGCTACACCATATGCGTATGTTAATCAGTACGCACACCACAGCATGCATGGTTTGATTGAGGCACATATGCGTATTTACATATTACCATGCTGCGAAAGCAGGGCGCGGCTGAGTGAGCTTGACCTGGAAGAAAATCGAAAAGCCGGTGTGCTTCCATGCGAGAAAGACATGAGGCGTCAGTCACACACACCCAAGAGCCTGGTCTTCGGATTCTTTGTTCATGCGAGACTAGCCTTGTTTGTGGAGTGGATGACCTGCGGAGATAAATCTGTTTTGGGGGCCATATCATATTTGGATATTGAAAGGCCCACCGTCTTGTTGGGAATAAGCAAAATGCGCGGAGAAAGGGAGCCAGAAGCTGTTCAACAGCTGTTTGAAGCTGCAGGAGTATCACGCAAGGACAATGGCTTTTGGGAAGGTTAGAGTTCGAGAGGATCTGTTTCTTTTCTCTTTTTATTTTTCTCTCTTTTTCTCCTCGGCTGATGAGATGTGATCTTACCACCCGTAGTAAGAAGGGAAGCTCTGACTACCCCGCATTCCGTTTCGTCTTGGCGATTGAGAGACGATATGACGCTGTTGGGGAGCTCTCTGATTTGACCCCATGGGCTTGTGGCTAAGCCGCTAACGTTGGTATTTGTAGGTAATGGGTTGTATACGAGCGAAATCCTAGGTACCTTGTACAATGAGAATGGAAAGGGATTTTACCTAGGTACCATACTGTGAATTGATTAACAGATCGGAAATATCTCGTCGGTCGCCTACCTAGGTACTATACCATGTGAAGTGCCGAGAATGACGAGATATGTTGTACATAAAATTAATACCATCAAACAGCTCCAAAGTAACTATCCTCCGCATGTCGCAAAATGCCACTAAATTAATCTCCGACGCGCGCATGGCGACGCACTGATGGAAGAAGCTCGCTAGGCTGCTACATATATCGTATATATCCCCCCACTGTGGAACTAAGCAAGCTAAGAAGCTGGGACTCTGTTTCGGCAGGCTATTGACTCCGGGAGCTTCCCCCAAGAAGAGACGGTATGGACGCCCCCAATGTGGTAGTTGTACGGAGTATACGAGGAACAGGAACAGTCGATGATCTATGATGATATCCACCTAGTAGAATCAGCAGGCCAGAAATAAATTCCTCGCATATTACATTCTCTTGTTCCGGTTGCGCGAATGTCGGTCAACAATCGGGATTTGCTCTCCTATCAGCGCTAAATGATAACTAACTGACCGGCCAGGATCTTGGTCAGCGTGAGCAGCCACCAATTGACCCCTTGCAGGCATTTTGACTCTTTCGAAGTTAGAAACCAAATGCAAAGCCAACAGCGCGAAGATAGAGAAGAACGTGATCAAATCAAAAAACGTACCGCAAGCCCCTATCACAGCTGACGAGCAAGAGAAACCTTGGAATTTCCGACTTAGGAAGGTACGTCTCCTTACTGAAAGCCCGGGGTACTCTTGCCGTAAAAGACATTATCTCCGCGCTGCTATCTACATTTGTACATACATATGTATGTAGTAGGTGTAAATATAGAAGGAGCTATCGGGGGGAAAATGGCGTGGAGTTAATTCTTAATTCTTAATTCCCCCGCAAAAGGACAACAGTCATTTCCCCGATTTCTGTAGAAGGGGGCTTTCCTTGATAAACACGGGAGAACATCACTCTTCCTCTATTCTGTGCAATCACCGTCTCATGTTACTTTCAAACAAGCCCTGTGGAGCCCAGAGAAGGATGACAACCCGAGGAGGGATAGCGGCTGGTGGGGTTGGCTTCTTTCCAGGAGTGCATCCCCATGCCAGTCATCTGATGTACATTGCAGTTGCAAAAAGGCGCCTTCTTAGTCGAGGGAAAACACCCTTGCTCATTCGCAGGCATAACACTTTCTACGGGAATGGCGTGGATTTCTTTGTAGGGCCATCTCCACCGTCGCGGCCGTCGGGTACGCATGCACGCCTTGCTGCACCTAACGTGGTATGGAGCACATTCCGATAGCGTGACTTGATATCCTTGCTTGGAGTATGGATGTGCATTATCTTGGTTTGAGATACAGTGCTGTGGATGCACTTGCGTTTTGGTATGGTGGTGACCGTTATCGCCTTCCAGGAGAACATATGTACTTTATGAAAAGGGCGCAAATACCTCACTTTGAATATAGTTTTAATACAAGTCTTTCTTTTATGTATACCGTGATGCTGGACGCTCTTTGTGACTACCTCGCTAAAAAAAATCCCAGTCTGTATGTCGAAGAGACGAAGAGACGACCGTCTTTCTGTAGGATAAGCCCACATGCCTCTAAAAATACGGTATAGATGTCGCCCACTGAATAGCCCTGTAAGACCCCACCGGCAGCAATCTCAAGGATGAGGAAACAAGAGCCACAATGCCAAAGCGCGAAATTAAGTATACCGCCATAGAAATGTTCAAGATGGTGTCTTTGAATAGACGCCATAAGTCATCATGGGAATCAAAGCCTATCAAAAATGACGGGAGCATATCCTTGCACCTTAACCACATGCAAACGTCTTGAATCGTCATTAGTAAATAGTAGATGAAGATCGAAGCGACGGAAACAATAGTAAAGACACGCCAACTTGTCTGTTCTGCCTCAGTTGGAAACGTAAAGTTCCAACTGAATTTCGACGTTAGTTCTCAACGCCTCCTAAGAAGGTCGTATTGGAAGGTTTAGACTTACGCAGCCAGATGAACAGCGCAAAAGCTCAAAGCGACTATACTGCCAACGACATCGCCGATGATCTTGATCGACGAAAATTGCTGTTCTTGGCGAGCCATCTCTTCATTCAGCCAAGTGGTAGAAGCCAGAGGTGTGTCCAGGAGCTTCCGCTCATGATAGAGCTCACTTAGGGCGGAGATTGCACTGTTCTTTCTGAGGCATGTCTGTAAATGAACCCATTTTTCAGGTTTCGCATCCGCAACATGTTCTATATCAGCCTGCATGTCTTGGCCATTGCAGCGTAGAGGGACTATAACAGGCGTGGCCATATCCTTAGGTTTACACCACCAGAAGCCATATGTAAGAATGCCGCATATCACATAAGCAACCGTAGTGAGCTCGACGGGTGACACTGGAAGGTCGTCTGCCAATCTAGCTATAACATTGACAAGGAACCAGGTGCTCTGGAAAACCGTGAAGCCCTTTGCGAACCAATCCGCTTTCGACCGATCTTCGATATCTCGATCTCTAATATCAGAACATCGGATGACCCCAGCTTGTATAAGCAGTTGAATATCTTCCCATCCGACACTATAGATCCACCCATCCTCTGTCTGCAAAGCTATTCCACCCATTATAAGGCAGAAGCAGTGAGCAAAAGTCCACTCCGTGTTCAGAGGCTGCAATTCGATGTCGGCAGCAGAGTGTTCTATCGGCCTAGTCCGTACTGGGAGCCATATCTTGGACATCGATATTTCAGAGTCCTTTGCTGCCTGCGTTTTATTGCATGTAGCTCTCAAGCCTCTGGCTGCGAAGAATTCTGCAACATCTGCTCCAGCTATCCTTTCTGGGATAAGGATATTATAGAGCCAGAGCCGCGCCCTGTCCACCATAAATCGCCAGTCTGATTGATTTCGGGGTCCAACGTCCATGTGAAGGACTGTCCATGTGCAGGCGAGAATGGTTGAGAGACATGTCCACAGAATGTCCCATGTGGAGCGGGTATTGTCTGCCAGCTGCCAGCCGACCAGGGTCGTTGAATTTGAGGCTAGCGAATGATTCGCTAAAGAGAAGAGCAATACCAAAAGCAACATTATTGAGGTAGGTTCACGGGTCAGCGTATGTTAGCCTCCTTTCACTTGGGCAAGGGTCTGCAAAGTATACTCCGTCTGTACTCACGCGAGGCTTAGTCCGACACGTAAACAGGGAGACGACACCAAGGGCGAATCTGCGAGCCAAGACACCAAGTGGTTTGACGCGGAGACAAAATTTGGGGGATCGGGGGGCCATCGAACAACTGCATGTTCTTGTGTGTATTAGAGACTCATGCTCACTATACTTCACCGTCTTGGCCATTTGGGACGTGGTGAGTCTGTTCCCGCTTTATGTCGTATATCATAAAGGCAATGATCCAACGCTGTCAGCGGGATTTCATTGCTTTTTGCAATGGGTACGGGACATTCGTTAGCTCGTGTTGAGACCATTTCATGGTGGGGTTGGCTAGGTATCTTGGAACTGTAACAATACACGTCTGTACAGCTTAGTTTCATCTGCTCAGTGTCATATGGTTCAAGCTTAACATTCTTTAGGAAATATAGAGTCGCCGTGTTAGTATTAGCGGATCAGGTAATTAGGAGGAGAAAGAGTCCATGTTTCCTACAGAAGGCAGTACAGTCACCTCCGTACAATAGGAAAATGGAATGGCCTTAGTATGTACAGTGTGATTTGTATACCCAAATCGAGTAAAATTGAGCACGCCCCTGAGCGGTCCTATGGTCCCACGGGTGTCCACCTGAGCACGGTTCAGGTGCATCTTACCTACATAAGCTGATTGGCTCACTTCCTAGGGCAGGCCGGGGGCCGACTTCAGGTCCCCGGCCCGAAGTCAGGACCGAGCATGTCCACCGGGGCAGACGGGTAGACGAACAGAAGCTCAAAGACAAGCGGACCCATAGAGCAGCGGCTGGACCTTCCCTCCTGCCTGCCCAGGTGGGCACCTGGGCAGGTGCGCTAAGCGATCACCCTGCTTCGTCACTATATGGGAGATATATCTGTACATATAGTTGGACCGTTTCTATCTTGCGGTTAACTCTGGTTTGCACACGTATGGAGCGCGTGGAAAACAGCTTTATATATGCGGCCACCGAGATTGCTTGTCGACGCTGGTATATGTTCAATTTAGTAGGAAGCGTAGATGATCGTAGGCAAGTGATGAATGATATTTGAAGTGAACTATATTTGCCAAAGAGCAAGAGAAGGTAATCACCCTTCATTTAGTATTATATTCGAGGATTTGTTATCCGTATGACAGACAGTGAGATACAGGAGCGAAGTAAAAGATCAGAAGATTATGGTTAGCAACCTATTCATTGCTTGTAGAGAATAATAAGCTTAGAGTTGCATCTCATCTGCTTTGACACAGATTTATCTGTCCAGATATTCACATGATCTTGAGTAATAGTGACGCTAATTCTCACTTAAAATCTTGGTGGATTCGAATCTGAAAGGCTACGGCTTGCAGAATAAAGCTAAGGCCAATGGGTCACCTGCTTCTGTTGATGGGGCTGAAGATACAGCATAAACGCCTCTTCCTCTCAATTGTCGTCGTGAGTCAAATTCTGTTTCTGTAGAGTCAGGCATCGAATAGTAAATAGAGTACAGAGCCCTACATACATGGCAAATATAGCTGTTGGCATTATGCGCATAGACAGATCTGACTTTGGGGCAGTGCTACATACATGGATATAGAGCACTATGTACAAAAGCACAAATGATATACACAGGCAACCCAAAATCAGCCCGGGATAGTAATATGTCCGTGAGATACCTTACTATACCACCATACCGACTCTAAAATCCCAACAACCAACCCAACTCCAACTTTACCAACTCGTAACCCCGCGCTCACGATCAAACCCAGCCCGCAACTGCTGCCCAGGCTTGAGCAACTTGCCCTGCAAGACAGTATACCGAATAATATTCTCGCACTCCTCCGGCCGCACACGCGCCAACCAGATCCCCTGCGCAGCACCCTCATCCTCGAGCCGCCCCTCCGCATCCGCAGGAGCATCGCGCTTGTACCAATCAAAGTCCCGACGGCGGTACACAATCACATTGGCAGAGTACTTGTGCCCACCGACATGGCTAATGAAGTAGATACCAACACCGCCAGGCCGCTGGTCGTCCATGTCACGGTAAAGACCCAGCGGACGCAGGTGGCGCTCGAACTCGCGGCGGAGTAGGGGTGCGGATTGCCCGCAGCGCGCGTCACGCGTGCGCTGCGAGCAGAGCAGGATCACTGCTGCGTGTGGACAAGGGTGGGACCTGAGGGATGTGGTGATTGATGTTGTGGATGGGTGTGGGAGGTCTTGTGTTTGTGTGGAGTCTTGGTCTTTGTTTGCCTCTGTTGATTTCTCTGGAGGGGGTGGGATTGCGCCTAGTGGCGTTGTTGTTGTCAAGGATCGGTTTACGAAGTTCTCGATCAGATCTGGGACTAGCTGTGGGGTGACGTGCTCGACGACGGTGAAGCTTGGCAGCAGGAGGACGTTTGTTGGCTGTTTGCCTGCGTCGGCCATGTGGTGTTCGTCCGGGACGGGCATGTTTGATGCTGACAGCTTGAGTCGCTGTAAGAAGGTTATTGTTAGTTCCTCTGTGTGTGCATGGGCTTTGACAGGTATAGAGGGATGGTGGTGGATATTGTCATACCCCGTTGCTCGGTTCCAGCCCTCCCTTCTCAATGGCTTCCATGACGCTCCCTTCCTCGTCTGCCACATCTCTCACCCAATCTGACTTGCCCGTTGCGACGAGCATATGCGTCGCCCATCCATTGACTTGTCCATATAGTTCGTCTTGGTGATCGACATCGAATTTTGTGGGGTATTTGATTGTGCACGTGGCGCAGTCGTGCAGGCAGTCTTCACCATCTACTGCTGGATCGACGCTTTTGAACAGCTTATCGCTTGAGGAGATCGTTTGAAACCCCTCTGCGGCGAGGGCGTTGTCACCCACGGCGTCGGTGGTGATGTCGGTCTTGGAGGAGGCAGCAGAGACGTTGGAGGAGCTAAAAAGGGAGGAAGTCCCCCGGCGAAAGAGATGCATGTTACAGTATATGGATATCTTCTTCGGCAGTGCGAGAAAGGGGAAAAATCTGCCAAGTTTGGCCTCGTTATTTTATGACGCGTCGTGAAATGATAAATTGATCTTATCAATCATTTTACAGGTTTTGCCAAGGACTCGGAATGTTTTCCGCCTGACTAAGTCCTCCCCCACACCTGGGCAGGGCTCCAGCCCTGGAGGGATCCAAGGTTGGCGCAATTGCGTGTCCAAAGGGCGCTGCTCTATAAGTAATATACAGGGTATGAATGTAATATTATCACTGCCTACGTCCAGCGTAGTCAATTGTGTACGGCAAACCTGTCGGATCTCGTGGCTGCGTCAGGCGAATGACACTCCCTCCAGAACTGCCAGATTGGCCCGATGCCATGCGCCGTAGAGATCTCGTAGAAGGTGTGCGGGAAGGACTTCGTGTTGCGTAGTATCCACTGTTCGTTGACAGTCCCGAGGCGGGGCTCTGCATTGCGGGCGCAGTGTCATACCCGGACTGGGTCTCCCAGCTAGACGCATTCGATGGGCGAAGGCTGTCACTCCGCATGGAACTAAGAGCCCCATCGTAACGATAAGTCCCAACGGTATCTGTTTCTCCCTCTTCGTCCGAGGGCCCGATGCCAGATTCGCTATAGGCTCGTCGGTAGCTTGCACTGTCGCGAATTTCATCCAGGATCGGTGGTGCAATAGATGTCATCCCTCTCAGGATCTCCGCGAAGAGATGCATCAGGTCGCGGAATTCCGCTTCGTATAGATCGCGCGACGAGAATCGGGCTCGTTCGTACATCGCAAGGAAATCTACACCGAGTTCTGGCGGATAGATAGCCCCGAGGGACGTCAGGTGGCGGATATATTCTCTCAGGCCCATTGACGCAGGACGTTGTAATACTTCCACCACGCGTGTATCCGGGAGAGACTGTGTCGCAAGGTCGCCTGACGGATCGAAGTGGTATGTGGCCGCAGGCGATAATGAATCGGCAGGGGCAAGGGAGACAGCTTTAGCTTCAATCAAGCTGGGAAGCTCGTGTATGACTGTGCGGTATGGTAGGTTCGGTAAGTCCGGCGAATTAGGAGAAGACCAGCCGGGGTGCTCGACATGGCCCCATGGGGGTCGTTCGGGGTCAATGAGCAGCGGTCTGTAATTTTGGAAGCTGTCCTTGTCGGTAGAGATATCACGTGGGCGGGCTTGATATGCGATGACGGCGCTGCGGACGAGGCCTTCCTTCACCAGTCGCCTAACGCTCTTGTTCACATCTTCCTTTTCCACGGGGATCCAGGCTTTGGGTATGCCGGTGAGTGCGCTCCGATTCGTGTAGATGCGTGTTGCATAAATGAGCGCTGCAATTATAAAAGTTATCACATATGCGCCGGTAATGAAGAAGACATTGGTGAGTCGGTTCGTCTCGTAGCATTGGTAGATGGCGTCCGCTGGTGTGAGGACGATGAGACAGAAGAGGATGAGGGCGAAGAAGAAGAACCCGGTTGTGTTGAGAAACCGTTCAAGTCTGACTGCCATGGCTTCCCGGGTGCCGACTGCATGACACTTAGGTGAGATTTAGCATATCTCAGCCATGAAGCGTGAGGAGCGAGTATGCCGGGGCACAACATCTACGAGTCCGATAAGGATAAGATTTAAAGTTAAACACGTGATCCGCGCGGCATAGGTACTTTCCCCGTTCGGTGGATTTTCAACAACAGACTTCGCCAGCGATCACCTCGGGGGGATTCCTTTCGTTTCACGTGCAGCAGACTGTCGCATACCTTTCTGTTTGCGACACCAAGCAACAAGCTCTCCAGCCTCAGCCAGCTTCAATTGAACGTCTTATCGCATAACCCCTATCTCCGATATCAAGAACAGTGCTAAGTCAACAGACTCACTGGAAGCAATAAGCAATGGATCATGTCAAGTCCGCTGGCGAGCAGCAAATGTTGCACATATTGGTGACAGGGGCCAACAGGTGCAAGACTCTCAATACACCCATTCACCTCA